CATTTCTCTGATGATTAGTGATGTGGAGCATCTTTTCATGTGTCTGTTGGTCATCTGAATTTCTTCTTTGGAGAACTGTCTGTTCAGTTCCTCTGACCATTTTTTGATTGGATTATTTGCTTTTTGTTTGTTGAGGTGCATGAGCTCTTTGTGTATTTTAGATGTCAACCCTTTATTGGATCTGTCATTTTTTAATATATTCTCCCATACTGTAGGATGCCTTTTTGTTCTACTGGTGGTGTCCTTTGCTGTACAGAAGCTTTTCAGTTTGATGTAGTCCCACTTGTTCATTTTTGCTTGTTTCCCTTGCTTGGGGAGATATGTTCATGAAGAAGTCACTCATGTTTAAGTCCAAGAGATTTTTGCCTTTGTTTTTTCCTAAGAGTTTTATGGTTTCATGGCTTACATTCAGGTCTTTGATCCATTCCATTATATCTGTATACCACATTTTGTTTATTCATCTGTCAGTGAACATTTGGATTTCTTCCACCTCTTAGCTATTGTGAATAAAGCTGCTATGAACATAAATGTGCATGTGTCTCTTCAAGACTCTGCATTCAGTTCTTTTGCATATATACCCAGAAGTGGGGTTACTGAATCATATGGTAGTTATATTTTTAATTTTTTGAGGAACCTACATACTGTTTCCCAAAGCAGTTGTGCCATTTTATAATCTCACCAACAGTGCACAATGGCTCTTTGCCCATTTTTGAATTGGCCTGTCTTGCTGAGTTGTAAGAATTCTTTATATATTCTGAATACTACACCCTTATTAGATATATGTTGTGAAAATATTTTCTTCCATTCTATAGCTGTCCTTTGATGTACATTGGCTTTTAATTTTAATAAAGTACAATTTATCTACTTTTTTCTTTTGTTGATGTTTTGGTGACATACCTGAGACAAATCCATTGCCAAATCCAAATTCATGGTGATTTACCTCAAATTTTCTTCCAGGAATTTTATGGTTTGAGTTTTTATATTTAGGTCATTGGTCCATTTTGAATTAATTTGTTAATATAGTATGAAGTTGGGAGTCCAACTCCATCCTTTTGCCTGTAGATATCCAGTTGTCCCACCACATTTGTTGAAGGGACTATTCTTTCCCTCATTGAATGATCTTGGCGCCCATGTTGGAAATCAGTTGGCTATAGGTGTATGAGTTTACTTCTGAATTCTCAGTTCTATTCCTTTGGTCTATATGTCCATCCTTATGCTAGTACACACTGTTTTGATTTGTAGCTTTGTAGTAAGTTTCAAAATCAGAAAGTATGAGTCCTTGACTTTATTCTTTTTTCAAGATTATTTTCTCTCTTTGGGGTTCCTTGTAATTCCACATGAATCTTATGCCTATTTATGTAAAATATGCTCTTGGAATTTTGATAGGGATTGCATTTAACCTGTAGATTAATTCAAGGAATATTGTAAAATAGACTTAATCTTTACAACATTAAGTCATCCAATTCATGAACACAGAATATCTTTCCACTTATTTAGGTCTTCCCTAATTTATTTTAGCGATATTTTGTGGTTTTCAGTGTGCAAGTCTTTTACCTTCTTGATTAATTTTATTCCTAAGTATTTTCTTTTGGATTGTTTTCTTAATTTCCTTTTCAGGTTATTCATTGCTGGCATATAGAGATACAACTGATTTTAGTGTGTTTATCTTATTCTCTGAAACATAGCTGAAATTATTAGCTCTGATAGTTTTCTTGTGGATTCTTTGAAATTTTCCATACATATGATCATATCATCTGTAACTAGAGATAGTTTTACTTTTTTATTTCCAGTTTGAATGCCTTTTATTTATTTTTATTGTCTAATTGCCTTGGCTAGAATTGGTCAGTATTATTTCAACTAGCAGTGGTGAAAGCAGGCATCCTGTGTGTATAATCTTGATTTTAAATTTTAGGATCACCTGAAAACTTAAGAAGAATAGAAACAGTAGCTGGGATTTCCACTCCAGTTACTATTTTTTTCTCTTTTTTTCTTCATTAGTATAGCTGAATTATAAAAGCTTCTCTTGCAAGTCAACTGAAAGCTTTTAACTGATAACAGTCTATTCCCTGTGTACTTCTAGATGCATAAATGGCTCACACTAACCTTTGCTGTGAAATTTGTCATTGCTCCCAAGAGACTTGGACATGTCTACTACATTTAATTGTGATTATCTGTTTTGTAACAGGCAATCTTTTGCATAAATGACAACTTTTTGCTTTAATACTGCATCACAATGTAATAGTTTTAAACATGTTCAAAAACAAATAGTAACCGAGTGTATGTGAAATTTGACTTCATATGTACTGTTCTTGCAAGTAATTCAATTGTGTTACCAGCAAATGAATAGAGAACAATTGCACCGGAAAGAACTGTGTCACAACTCACCTCTCTGCCTTGTGGCTGGTAAATTCCTTTGGCACTGATTTAAGTCTGGTTTTGATGTTGCAATGCTAAAATAGAAAGGAACATGAGTCTTAGAATTGAGGAAACATGCTTTGTTGCAGTAAAGAGGAATGAGGGTGATCTCCATGAAATATGCACTGATTTCTCAGGTACATTTTTGAGCAAGGAAAGCAAGTTATCTCTTTTTTTTTTTTTAAGAAAGGAAAGGAATAATAAAACAGAAGTATATTTATTTTTTTCAAAAGATACCCAGGAAGGATCAAACAGAAACTAATTAAATTGATTGCCTTTAGTCACTAGCAGTAGGGTGGAGGGAACAGGTATGAACAAAGACTTCCCTGGCTCTGGAGGCATGAATTGGCTTGTCTCCCACCAGGTCCCTGCGTGGTCTGGACTGTTTCATGACCATGGCTAGAGGGGGCCAGAACAAAGTTAGGGCCCTTTCAGGGTCTCCATATTGCAGACTGGTGCATCTCTTACCGGGTTTTTGTACCAGCAGCACTATTCAGAGACTGTGGCTGGGATGGGCTGGAGTGCAGTTACAGGGCCGTTTCAAAATCTAGTTTAACAGTACTTCCAGGTGATCCTGGATCCCAGCAGAAAGTGGCTGAGGCCAGTTCATGTGCCACTTCAGGATCCATAGCGAGGATTTGGGTTCTGTGCTGGTAGGCATGACGCCTCCCAGGTCTCCTAGCATATGGTACGGGTGACAGAACTAAAGTTGAAGACAGCTGTAGCCAAGTCCTCCATATGGAGCAGTTTCAGCAGCAGTACCTGCAATCGTGGTCCACTAGTCAGCTGCCTGCCTGCTCAAAAGGGTTCCTCCTTGGTCTTGGACTGCAGTAGGGTTTCACACACTACATGGATCTCAAAGCTCTCACGAAGGCTTTTGTTGATAGATGGATGCCTGATTATTGTGGGGATAGGGGGATATAGCAAAGATGCTTATTCAGTCATCTTGCTGAGGTTGCTGTTTTAACTATTACCTTTTTAAAGTTTTGGCTTCTATGTAAATGTTGTAAATATTTTAAAAATAAATTAAAAGGTTGAAAAAGAACCAAAAAATTTAATATAAACAAATTAACCTAACCATATATGTCAAACTGAAGTATAATCAGATAAAAAAAGCTCAAGAAAGTTTTGTGTAGTATTCTGGCTGTGCATTCCTGGTGAGGGTATTCTTGAAGGACCAATAGAACTGCAAGGAGAGCTTAAACTTTACTGAGTGTGTTCACTAATGATAGTTCTAGTAGTCTCATAGTTCTCCAACTATCTTGTGTGAACTGTAAGATACAAAGCAAATAAACCCATTGATGTTTTGGGATATGAAAGTGTAGAAACAATATAGAAGAATCTTGTGGACTGAAGGGGGAATGTTGTGGAGGTACCAGTAGGTACTCATAAAAAAACATGTGTGTATATATATGTATGTGTAGTGAGGATCGCGGGGAAGGGAATGCTAAGGAAGATACTTGGGGACAATTGGTAAAATTTAAATATAGGTCACATTTTAGAATGTATTACCTAAATAATATTAAGTTTTAGATGTGCTAATGGTATTGAGATTAGGTGGTTGAATATCCTTATAGGAGATTTATGCTGAAATATTCAGAGGTGAAGTACCATGGTGTTTGTAATTTACTTTAAAATGGCTCAGAATATTATATATATATATATGTATATATAAAAAGCATATATGTTTAAAACAGTATATAAAAATAGTATATATAGGGAGAGGGAGAAAGAAAAAGTTAAAGCAAATATAAAAAATATTAAAAGATGAATTTATTGAAGAATATACAGGTGTTCATTGTATAATTCAACTTTTCTTTGGGTCTGACATTTTTCAAAGCAAAAAAAAATATTCATGATGTGGAATACGTAGAACTTTATAGCTAATAGGAAGAGAGGTAGAGAGTGAGTGCTGAGTCAGGAATAACACCTAGATTTCTGGTCTTATTCTAGGTGTCTGAAGGAAGAGCACACACACAGAGAGTGATGAACCTTCTGCTTGGGAAACACGATGTGCAGTGTCTGTGGGACACCAGTGGAGACATCCAACAGGCTATTGGATATGCTGGTTTGGAGGCTGAGTGGCACAGTGAAAGAGGTGGGCCATGAATGGGGGCCTGTAATTTTCTAGGGCTGCCATAACAAAATACCACAAACTGGGGGGCTAAATAGCAAAAATTTATTTACTCACAATTCTGGACCTGGAAGTCTGAGATCAAGGTGTTGGCAGGATTAGTTCCTCTAAGGCCTCTCTCCTTCACTTGTCAATGGACATGGTCTTTCCTCTGTATGTGCCTGTGTCCTAATCTCCTCTTCTTATAGGGACACCAGTTATATTGCATTAGGGCCCATCCCAATGACCTCATTTTAAGTTAATTAACTCTTTAAAACCCTATCTCCAAATACAGTCACATTCTGATGTACTGACAGTTAGAACTTCAACATAAAAATGGGGGGTGGGGGAACTCAATTCAGCCCAGAACAGAGCCGGAAGGTAGAGTCTCCTGCCCACAGGATCCTGACTAAACGGAACACTATTTTGTATTCAGTAGCATTAAGTTAACGTAATCCTAAAACCATTAGCAAGGGAAAATTTCCCCTACCTCACTGGGAGTTTTTTAAGTGTGTTCGGGAAAAGGGATATTTTCCAAAGAGAGGTATACATACAGAAAGGAAGAGTTGTAGTACAGGAGGAAATGAGTTTGGCTTTCTAGTAAGCTGTCTCATATTTGGCTCAAGTCAGGGAAATAAGAAAAAAGATTGTTGTAGACACAAAAAAACTAAATTTCAAGGGCAAGTTCTACTTGTAGAAGGAAACAAATTTTGAAACATGCCATGCTCTGTTTGGCAAAGGAAATAAAATCAAAGAAATGAAGCTAGGAAAACTCCTTGGCATTATTCCCATAACAACAACCAGGAGTGAGACTTACAATAGATTTCTCACCCCTTGGGTCAGGGGCTAAAGGATGTTTTTGCAGAGTTGTGGAAAATAAGCTCTGGCATATATTTATGAAGTAATTGGTGGGCAGGAAGGAAAGAGGATGACAGGAGAAGTGCAAGGATAAACTTGTTGGTTTTTAAATCAGACCAAGCACTGTATCAGGGCAGTCTGCTTTTCATGCCATGTATTTTCATTCCCTAATAGCTATCTGACATTGGACAACTTACTTGGTTTCTCTGGGCCTTAGATTTCCCCACTGTAGAGTGGTGATAATACCTTCCTCCAAGAGTTCTTGTCAGATATAAGTGAGAAAAACTGGACAGTTCTTCATGCACAGCAGTTCAGTGAAAGGTGCTGTCCTCGTCATTCCTACCACATCACCATCAGTCTTACCCATGTCCTCTGACTTTGTTCCTGTCATTCTTGCTGTCGGCAGTGCCTTCCTTTCTTCTTTCCAACTGCTTTCAAGTTGTGCTGCTTTGGGAGTCTTTCCCTGAGAATTTGAACCCAAGCCAACCTCACTACAAGGGAGAGACAAAGCTTGAACTGGGTGCCCAGGTGTTCTGGATGCATTCAGGTGGTGGACAGCCATGGGGAGGGTCTTCAACAACATCATTCAACAAACCTGTGCTGAGCACCTACTTTATATCAGCACCAGCCCAGCAGCAGGAGATACAAAGCTGAAAAGGATGGCCCCTGCTCTCAGGGAAGTTTTTATTTAGTGGATAAAGAAACATGTAAGCAGACAAATACAGATATAAAATGGATGTATTCAAAAGGTTCAGTAGTAGCAAAATGCAGAAAACTCTAAATGTATGGATCACCTCCATCAGCCTAAAAATATGCTGGAATATCTCCTATAGTAAAATACCTCATTTTGACCCTACAACTTCTTCTGGCTACCATTTTGTTACAAATCTCTCCTCCCTCCTTATTGCAAAGCTGTGAATAATTATGCTATAGACTGAATATATGTGTCCTCTCAAAATTCCTATGTTGAAATCCTAACCCCGAGGGAATGGTATTAAGAGGTGAGGCGTTTGAGGGGTGATTAGGGTGGAGCCTACCAATGGGATGCTTGTCCTTACAGAAGAGGCACTGAGAAAGCACCCTGGCCCCTAACGCCATGCCAGGAAACAGCAAGAAGACTATGAAGACAGGGACTCTTACCAGATGCTGCATATGCCAGTGCCTGACCTTGGACTTTCTGGCTTCCAGACCTGTAGGAAATAAATTTCTGTTGTTTATAAGCCTCCTGGTCTATGGTATTCTTGTTATAGCAGTCTGAACAGATAAAGACAAATTGTTATACTTACTATTTCCACTCTCCCACCTCACATTCCCTCTTTTCTACAATAAATGTTTAAAGTTTCAAAAATTATGAAAAGGTAGGCAGCTTTCTCTCATCCTGCAGTTATCTGGTATTATTAGTTTGCTTATATTTTCAGATTTCTTTTTTGGTTGGTACAAGTATATTTTTTTTTTTCATTTTGGTATCATCAATGTACAATTTCATGAGCAACATTATGGTTACTAGACTCCCCCCATTATCAAGTCCCCACCACATACCCCATTACAGTCACTATCCATCAGCATAGTAAGATGCTATAGAATCACTATTTGTCTTCTCTGTATTATACTGCCTTCCCCGTGCCCACCCCCCTACATTATGTGTTCTAATCGTAATGCCCCTTTTACCCCTTAGACCTCCCTCCCCACCCCCCCAACTGCTGACTCCCTTTCCCTTTGGTAACTGTTAGTCCATTCCTGGGTTCTGTGAATCTACTGCTGTTTTGTTCCTTCAGTTTTTTCTTTGCTCTTATACTCCACAGCTGAGTGGAATCATTTGATACTTGTCTTTCTCCCCCTGGCTTATTTCACTGAGCATAATACCCTCTAGCTCCATCCATGTTATTGCAAAGGGTAGGATTTGTTTTCTACCTATGGCTGAATAATATTCCATTGTGTATACATACCATGTCTTCTTTATCCATTCATCTACTGTTGGGCACTTTGGTTGCTTCCATTTGTTGGCTATTGTAAATAGTGCTGTGATAAACAAAGGGGTGTATGTATCTTTTTGAAACTGGGCTCCTGCATTCGTAGGGTAAACTCCTAGAAGTGGAATTCCTGGGTCAAATGATATTTCTATTTTGAGTTTTTTGAAGAACCTCCATACTGCTTTCCACAATGGTTGAACTAATTTACATTCCCACGAGCAGTGTAGGAGGGTTCCCCTTTCTCCACATTCTTGTCAACATTTGTTGTTTGTCTTTTGGATGGTGGCCATCCAAACTGGTGTGAGGTAATATCTCATTGTGGTTTTAATTTGCATTTCTCTGATGATTAGTGATGTGGAGCATGTTTTCATGTGCCTGTTGGCCATCTGAATTTCTTCTTTGGAGAAGTGTCTGTTCAGATCCTCTGCCCATTTTTAAATTGGATTATTTGCTTTTTGTGTTGAGGTGCATGAGCTCTTTGTCTATTTTGGATGTCAACCCCTTATTGGATATGTCATTTATGAATATTTTCTCCCACACTGTAGGATGTCTTTTTGTTCTATTGATGGTGTCCTTTGCTGTACAGAAGCTTTCCAGCTTGATATAGTCCCACTTGGTCATTTTTGCTTTTGTTTCCCTTGTCCAGAGAGATATGTTCATGAAGACGTTGCTCATGTTTATGTCCAAGAGATTTTTGCCTGTGTTTTTTTCCAAGAGTTTTATGGTTTCATGGCTTACATTCAGGTCTTTAATCCATTTTGAACTTACTTTTGTATATGGGGTTAGACAATGATCCAGTTTCATTCTCTTACATGTAACTGTCTATTTTTGCCCACACCAGCTGTTGAAGAGGCTGTCATTTCCCTATTGTATATCCATGGCTCCTTTATCATATCTTAACTGACCGTATATGTTTGGGTTAATATCTGGACTCTCTATTCTATTCCACTGGTCTGTGAGTCTGTTCTTATGCCAGTATCAAATTGTCTTGATTACTGTGGCTTTGTATAGAGCTTGAAGTTGGGAATCGAGATCCCCCCTGCTTTTTTCTTCCTTCTCAGGATTATGTTTGCTATGGGATCTTTTGTGGTTCCATATGAAGTTTAGAACTATTTGATCCAGTTTGTTGATGAATGCTGTTGGTATTTTGATAGGGATTGCATTGAATCTGTAGATTGCTTTAGACAGGATGGCCATTTTGACAATATTAATTCTTTCTACCCAAGAGCATGGGATGAATTTTCATTTATTAGCATCCTCTTTAGTTTATCTTAAGAGTGTCTTGTCATTTTCAGGGTATAGGTCTTTCACTTCCTTGGTTAGGTTTATTCTTAGGTATTTTTTTTTTTTGATATAGTTGTGAATGGAATTGTTTTCCTCATTTCTCTTTCTGCTAGTTTACCACTAGTGTATAGGAATGCAACAGATTTCTCGGTATTAATATTGTATCCTGTAATTTTGCTGAATTCAGATATTCTAATAGTCTTGGAGTGGATTCTTTAGGGTTTTTTATGTACAATATCATGTCATCTGCAAAAAGTGACAGTTTGACTTCATCCTTACCAATCTGGCTGTCTTTTTTTTCTTCGTATTGTCTGATTGCTGTGGCTAGAACCTCCAGTACTATGTTGAATGAAAGTGGGGAGAGTGGGCATCCTTGTCTTCTTCCTGATCTTAGGGGAAAAGCTTTCAGCTTCTTGCTGTTAAATATGATGTTGGCTGTGGGTTTGTCATATATGGTGTTTATTATGTTGAGGTACTTGCCCTATATACCCATTTTGTTCAGACTTTTTATCATGAATTGATATTGAATTTTGTTGAATGCTTTTTCAGCATTTATGGAAACGATCATGTAGTTTTTGTCCTTTTTGTTTATGTGGTGCATGATGTTGATGGACTTTCGAATGTTGTGCCATCCTTGCATCCCTGAGATGAATCCCACTTGATCATGGTGTATGATCCTCTTGATGTATTTTTGAATTCGGTTTGCTAATCTTTTGTTGAGTATTTTTGCATCTTTGTTCATCAGGGATATTGGTCTGTAATTTTCTTTTTTTGTGTTGTCTTTGCCTGGTTTTGGCATTAGAGTGATGCTGGCTTCATAGAATGAGTTTGGAAGTATTCCTTCCTCCTCCATTTTTTGGAAACTGTAAGGAGAATGGGTATTACATTTTCTCTAAATGTCTAACATTGAGGGGTGAATCTGTCTGGTCTGGAGGTTTTGTTCCTGGGTAGGTTTTTTGTTTTTGTTTTTTTAAATTTTTTATTAAGGTATGATTGATATACACTCTTATGAAGGTTTCACATGAAAAAAAATGTGGTTACTTCATTTACCCATATTATCAAGTCCTCCCCATACCTCGATTCAGTCACTGTCCATCAGTGCAGCAAGATGTCACAGATCTACATGTGCCTTCTCTGTGCTACACTGTTCTCTGTGATACCCCACACCATGTGTACTAAACATAATACCCCTCAATCCCCTTCACCCTCCCTTCCCACCTGCACTCCCAACCCCTCCCCTTTGGTAACCACTAGTTCATTCTTGGAATCTCTGAGTCTGCTGCTATTTTGTTCCTTCAGTTTTGCTTCATTGTTATACTCCACAAATAAGGGAAAGCATTTGGAGTTTGTCTTTCTCTGTCTGGCTTATTTCACTGAGCATAATGTCCTTCAGCTCCATCCATGTTGTTGCAAATGGTGGGATTAGTTTCTTTCTTATGGCCAAATAGTATTCCATTGTGTATATGTATCACCTCTTCTTTATCCATTCATCTACTGATGGACACTTAGGTTGCTTCCATATCTTGGCCATTGTAAATAGTGCTGCAATAAACATAGAGGTGCATATATCTCTTTGAATCTGAGAAGTTGTATTCTTTGGGTAAATTCCAAATAATTACTGTGGAATTCCCAGCTCAAATGGTATTTTTATTTTTAGTTTTTTGAGGAACCTCCATATTGCTTTCCACAATGGTTGAACTAGCTTACATTCCCACCAGCAGTGTAGGAGGGTTCTCCTTTCTCCGCATCCTTGCCAGCAGTTGTTGTTCTTAGTCTTTTTGATGCTTGCTATCCTTACTGGTATGAGGTGATACCTCGTTGTGGTTTTAATTTGCATTTCCTGATGATTAGTGATGTGGACCATCTTTTCATGTTTCTGTTGGCCATCTGAATTTTTTCTTTGGAGTACTGTCTCTTCATATCCTCTGCCTATTTGTTAATTGGGTTATTTGCTTTTTGGGTACTGAGGCATGTAAGTTCTTTATATATTTTGGATGTTAACCCCTTGTCGGATATGTCATTTACAAATATATTTTCCCATACTGAAGGTTGCCTTTTTGTTCTGTTGATGGTGTCCTTTGCCATACAAAAACTTTTTAGTTTGATGTAGTCCCAAGAGTTCATTTTTGCTTTTGTTTCCCATACTAAAGGAGATGCATTCAGGAAGAAGGTGGTCATGCATATATTCAGGAGATGTTTGTATTTGTTGTCTTCTAAGAGTTTTATGGTTTCATGTCTTACATCGAAGTCTTTAATCCACTTTGAGTTTACTTTTGTGTATGAGGTTAAGCAATAATCCAATTGCATTATCTTGCATGCAGCTGTCCAGTTTTGCCAACACCAGGTGTTGAAGAGGCTGTCATTTCCCCCTTGTATATCCATGGCTCCTTTATCTTTTATTAATTGACCATATATGGTTGGGTTTATATCAAGGCTCTCTAGTCTGTTCCATTGGTCCATGGGTCTGTTCTTGTGCCAGTATCAAATTGTCTTGATTACTGTGGCTTTGTAGTAGAGCTTGAAGTTTGGGAGCATAATGCCCCTAGCTTTATTCTTCCTTCTCAGAATTGCTTTGGCTATTCGAGGTCTTTGTGGTTCCATATGAATTTTAGAACGATTTTCTCCAGTTCGTAGAAGAATGCTGTTGGTATTTTGATAGGAATTGCATTGAATCCATAGATTGCTTTAGGCAGGATGGCCATTTTGATAATATTAATTCTTCCTATCCATGAGCATGGGATGAATTTATATTTATTGGTATCTTCTTTAATTTATCTTAAGAGTGTCTTGTAGTTTTCAGGGTATAGGTCTTTCACTTCCTTGGTTAGGTTTATTCCTAGGTATTTTATTCTTTCTGATGCAACTGTGAATGGAATTGTTTTCCTGATTTCTCTCTCTGCTAGTTTATTATTAGTGTATAGGAATGCCACAGATTTCTGTGTATTCATTTTGTATCCTGCAATTTTGC